ACAATCTCCGTCTGTGTCATTTGCTGTTGGCCTGTGTTCTCTGCCCACCTCTCCGCCTTCTCTTTTGTGTCTCTCTCTCCTTGTCTCCCTCTGTGTCCCAACCCATCTCTGCCTCCGTTCAGGTCTCTCCCCCTGTTGTCTCCTGGCCTCTGCCTTTCTCTCTCTCTCTGCCCTCATCTGTTCCCCCTGTTCTCTCTCTGTGTTTCTGTTCCTCTCCATCTCCCCAGCTCTGTCTCTGCCTCCATCTCTATGAGTGAAAGTTGCTCAGTCATGTCCCACTCTTTGCAACCCCCTGGACTATACAGTCCATGGAATTCTACAGGCCAGAATACTGGAGTGGACATTCCCTTCCCCAGGGGATCTTCCCAAGCCAGGGATCGAACCTAGATCTCCCACGTTGCAGGCACATTCTTTACCCACTGAGCCACCAGGGAAGCCCATCTTTCTCTCTTGTCTCTCCCTATGTCCTTCTGGGGTTTTATTTCTCTGCCTCTGGTCCCAGTCTCTTTGCCCATCTCTGCATCTCGTGGTCTCTGCCCCTCTCCACCCCCCACCCCAGCCTGGGTTCTCACCCATGGAGCCCCTGTTCCAAACCCTTCCCACTTGCCAGGCTGGAGGCATCTCCATGACATGACTTAACCACCCCCGCCCCCAACACAGACACACTCACTCTTGGATTCATCCCCAAATAACTGGGTCAACGCTGCCTAACCTCAAGCAGGACAGGACAGAGGTGAGGCTGCAGAGTAGGGCAGAGGATGCCGCTTCCACCGCCTTCTCCCTGATTCCAGCCGCCCCAGCCCTGTCCCTCCCTCTGGCTGCAACCCCCCTCCTCCCACTGCCCAGACCTAAGTCAAGTCTGGGCAGCTGTGAGGTCTGAGCCCACCTTGCACCACCCACCACCCACCACACCCCTCCTGCTGACCTCCTCTATGTTCATGATCAAAGTTGCAGGTCCCCGGAGCAGAGCGGGGTCCGGGGTCTCTGTGCCCCCAGGTGACCGATCGCTGCAGGCAGGTAGATGGAGACAGGGTCCAAGAACCAGACACTAGGGAAGGGCCAGAGACAGAGAAAGCAGAGGGAAACGGGGCCAAGAGAGACAGAGGGACGCACAGTCATCCCTCAGCATCACCTCAAGTGTCCCGACAACCCCTCATCAGGGCAGTCCACGCCTGCTTCTTGAGTGACCTCATCCAACCCCATGGCTCTAAACACATATCTCCTCGGGTGACTCCTCACCCACCCCGACCTCTGTCCGCCCCCTGGGGCCCACACATCCAACCGCTTGGCTCCAGATGGGCGCCCTCAGCTCAGCCCTTCTCCCCCAACACCCCCTCGCACCTCCACACAAACGGCGCCACAAATGTGACCGCCAGCAGACTGAGGCGGAGACACGCCCCACGCCTCCTTTCTCCTCCCTCCCCACCGTCCACCCGTCGGGTACTTGACACCCCGCCCCTCCCCTTTCTCTTTGCCCAGGGGCCACAGCCTCTCCCATCCGGGGGGCTGTTGCCACACCCCCCTCCCCCNCCCCCCCGCCTCCTCACTGGTTTCACCGCTTCCATCTCACCCCACTCCCATCATTCTCCATGCGGAATGCTTTTTAAAAAGAAATCAGATCACACCACTCTTATCTCAGGCTTAAAAATCCACTGCACCAAGGGATTTCCCTGGTGGTCCAGGGGTTAAGACATCATTTTTTAATACCGAGGGTGCTAGTTCGATCCCTGGTTGGGGAGCTAAGACCCTATATGCTTTGCAGCCAAAAAAAAAATGAAATAAAAGCCGAAACATAAAACTGAAGCAGTATTGTACTAAATCCAGTTAAGACTTTAAAAATGGTCCACAGCAAAAAAAAAAAAAAAACTTAAAAAAAATCCATTGCATTGAAGATAAACCCAAACTCTTTCCCCTGGCATGCAAATCCCCCAGGGATTGAACCCAGGCCATTGCAGTGTAAAGGCTGAGTCCTAACCGCTGGACAACGAGGGAATTCCCCCAACTTCTCTCTTTCCTGCCAAGTTCATTGCCTCTCAGCGTAAAAGTCCCCTCCTCTGAGACACCCCGACAGCCCCTCATTTGCAGTCACCCGACCTGGTCCCAGTCCCTCTCTAATACCAGCCGTGTTCTCTGCACACACACGACTACCAGATATTTGCTTGTCCCTGCATTTGTTTCTGTTGGTCGGTCTCCCCTGCTGGGACGTGTGCCCCTGAAACACTGGAGTGTGCATGTCCCTTCCCGCAGCTCAGAGCCTCGGAGGGGCGCAATTGCTCTTTGACTAGCAAAAGCTTCATCCTACCCCCCACCGTCTGGGCGCCCACGGTGCGCCTGGCTCGGTGTCCAGGCATTTTCCCCCACAAAGGTTTTTGGAAGATTTTGAGATGGAGGAACAATGATCACCCTGATTTTATGGATGGGAAAACAGAGGCTCACAGGGGTGCAGTCACGTGTGCAAGGTTCCAAAGGTAGAATGTGCTGTTGGGGGTTTGAATCGGGGAGGTTCCGCTGGGAAAACACAGCAGGGAGAAGGAGAGAGGATGAGAGAGATTTAACGAGAGGGAGAACAAGAGAAAAAGAAACAGAGAGTGTGTGTACGTGTGTGAGAGAGCGGGGGGCAGGGGGAGAACTGGAGAGAGAGAGACGGGAAAGCTGACAGGCAACCAAGCAAGAAGGGTCAGTGAGGCCGAAATCTCCCGACCCCTCTAGCTCACTGATCTCAGCCTGGCACCAGGCAGCCAGAGAGCTCTGAGCTGCAAGCTGGCAGCACCTCGCCCCAGGAATGTGTCCCTAGGGGGCAGGCCAGCCCAGCTGGGGATGCTTATAAGCTCCCCAAGGGGCCCCTGCTGGAGGCAGCAGGCGGAAGCCCAGCCAAGTGTAGGATCCCGGAGCCCAGAGGCAACTAGGTGAGCGTCCCACCCACCACTCCCTTAAGAGCAGTCTTCATGATCTACTCTCCCTACAGCCCCGTGTCCCTGCGGTTCTCAGCCTCCGGACCTTGGGTCTTCAGGTCTGTTTCCTCCAAATCGGTCTCTACTTAGGAGGGTCTCTCCAGTCCTCCTGTGTCTCCCCTGGTCTATTTCCCTGAATCTCTCTTTCCTGGACTCTGACTCTCAGCCCGCCTCTGATATCCTCTCTTCTCTGCATCCTTGAGGGCCCTGTCTCCATCCTCCTACGTCTCCCAGTCTATAGATGGAGAGACACTTTCTCCATCTCTTCCTCTCCACCCACTTCTCTCTCTCTCTTTCCACTTCTCTCTCAGGCTCTCAGGCTATCCAGGCTGTGGGTCTCTGGGCCATGAGCTCAGACACTGCGATGTGTGTGTGTGTCGGAGAGGGGGTGGTATAGATCCTTGTCTGTCTGATAATATCCTGGGGGAGGGGGCAGGAGTGGAGAGAGAGACTGATGGAAAGACTTGGTTCCCTAGAGACTGACCCTCATACAGGTGCTGAAGGATGACCACAGCAGGAAAGCCCTGGGGCTGGTTCCTGGGGCATCTCCTCCTCGGTGTCACAGGTATCTGAGTGAGGTGTGTGTGTGTGTGAGATTGTGTCTGAGGCTTGTTACTGGGCAGGCACGACTCAGGGTCCTCCAGGACCTGACTGAAGCTGCGTGGATGACAGTACGGTGTGACGGTTGCTTTCCGGATGCACACGTGTGATTCCTTGTATCACAGGGTGTCTGCATGGGTGCCACCTGTGTGCTAGCGTGTGTGTGTGTGGCTTTGCACGCCTCCGTGTACAGTCGTTCCCGCGAGAGTCGGTGCATGATTGGGGGGACAGCTCTGACAGTCTGTGCGTCTGGATACCCTGCACGGTGGCAATGCTGAGAGGACCCGAGTGATGAAGCTTCGAGGACCTGTGGAGCCGGAAAGTATTAGTCGCTTCAGTCGTGTCCTGTTCTTTGCTCTGTCCATGGGATTCTCCAGTCAAGGATACTAGAGTGGGTATCCATTGCCTTCTCCAGGGGGTCTTCTGGAACCAGGGATGGAACCCGGATCTGCTGCACTGCAGGCAGATTCTTTACCGTCTGAGCCAACAGTCCTTGCCTGGGGTACCCCTGAAAGGGAGATTATGCTTCTAGGAGAGGCACCCATTGAGGGCAATCTGCGCCTGCTGCGTGGGTCTCCAGTCCTCAGAGGCCCGGGGATCCACATCAGGACGGTGTGATGGGGTTGCTGCGTGAGCCGGATTTCTGTTGCCCTGGGGGGACGGGACTGAGCCGAGCTGGGCGAGACGCCAGGGCCACAGATACTGGCACTGCCTCCCTGAGCGTCTTCTGTCGCCCTTGCCTCTGCCACCTTGTGTGGAGGGGTCTGCTTGTGCTGGGAGACTGAGGCCCCAGCAGTGCGCAAGCCTACCGTGGTGCTTGTGTGTGTGTGTGAGAGAGAGATGGAGTGTGGGTCTGGAAGAAGGCTGTGACGAACTCGAAGCTGAAACTCTCCCCCGACAAGTGACCCTTGAACCCGAACCCACCCCAAGGAACCTGATCCGTGGCATTAAGGCCCCCCGCACTGTGGCCCCGCCCCCGCCTCCTCACTCCTCCTTGACTCCGCCCCTAGCACTCTCCCTGCCCGCAGGATCCCTGACTCCATCCCTGAGGTTCTGACCACAGCCGCCCACCGAGAGGTCTAGTGCCAGCTGACCTCCACACAACGCAGTGCACTGTGACTCCGCCCCGAAGAGGCCTAGTCCCGCCTCCTGTCTGTCTCCCACCTCTGGCCACGGCCCCATGCACCGAGAGCCCCGCCCCCAACCCCACTCCTGCTGTCCCGCTTCCACCCTGAGCCACGGCCCCTCACCGCCACAGAAGCCCCGACCACGCCCATCAAATGCAGTCACGCCCCCGAGAGCCATGGCCACGCCCCCCAGGAGTAAGTGTCCTACATTCTGGGCCTTTTGCTCAGTCCTGACCACGCCCCCACGCCGAGCCCCGCCCCCAGAAGCCCCGAATCGGCTCAGAGCCGGGTTCCCCCAGCCCTGCCTCCGCCCTCAGGATCCCTCGCCTGGGGCGGCAGCAGCCGCATCATAAACGGCGAGGACTGCCGCCCGCACTCGCAGCCCTGGCAGGCGGCCCTGTTCTTGGAAAATGAATTCTTCTGCGGGGGCGTCCTGGTGCATCCGCAGTGGGTGCTGTCAGCCGCACATTGTTTCCAGAAGTGAGTGCAGGGCGGGGGCCCGGGGGTGGGGCGGGGAGGAGGGACGAGGACGGCGTTTGGGTTCCAGAGAGGGTCTGGATGCACTGTTAGCTGAGGAGAGGGGCTTCATAGATTCAGTCTCCGGGTACTAAAAGTGAAAGCCGCTCTCAAGGAAGGCTCTGCGAGGGAGGCGGGAGCTCTTGCTTTGGAAAGACTCAGAGTCCTGGGTTGAAATCTCAGTTCCACTGCAGAGTATCTAGTCAATTAAGGCAAGTTCTTGTCCCTGGATTATAACTTGTTCATTAGGATTTGAAATCATGACTGGGTAGTGCAGAGTTTAGCAAGGAAGATGGGGGTGGGGCAGGGGACTGGAGATGGGGTTATGGTTGAAGACAAGAATGGAGATAATAGCGTGGCTGCCACAGAACTAACCGGTCCCCACGCTATCCCCGCACCCTCGACCCCGTGGCCCTCAGGTCCTATACCATCGGGCTGGGCCTGCACAGTCTTGAGGCCGACCAAGAACCAGGCAGTCAGATGATAGAAGCCCACCTCTCCATCCAGCACCCAGAGTACAACAAACCATCTTTCGCCAACGACCTCATGCTCATCAAGTTAGAAGAATCGGTGCCCCCGTCTGATACCATCCAGGATATCAGCATAGCCTCCCAGTGCCCGGCCGCCGGGGATTCCTGCCTGGTTTCCGGCTGGGGTCGGCTGGTGAATGGTGAGCTCGGGAGGGTGGGTGTGTGTGGTCTCTCCAAGGGGTTCTCCACCCAGCCAGTAGAGGCTGATCCGATGCTCTGCGTCCCAGGCAGACTGCCCAAAGTGCTTCAATGCGTGAATATCTCAGTGGTGTCGGAGGAGATCTGCAGTGAACTCTATGCCCACGTGTACCACCCCAGCATGTTCTGCGCTGGTGGAGGCCAGGACCAGAAGGACTCCTGCCATGTGAGAGACGGGGGAAGGGAAGAGGGGAGAAGATCCAAGGAGAGATGGAGAAGGGAGGGGGCAAGGACCCCGTGGTGAGAAATGAGATATGGAAGAGAGACTGAAAGAGAAATAGATGCGGGAATAAAGAGAAGCAAGAAAGTGAGAAACAGAAATAAAGACAGATGCAGTAAGGCAGAAACACATACACACATGCACACCCAGACAGAAACAGATACAGTGACACATAGAGATGAAATGTAAAGTGAAATAGGATAAAAAATCAACATACAGAAGGTACAGAAATGCATAGACTCTCAGAGTCACTGAGACAGAGAAGTAAGCTACAGTGGGAGAAAAAGAAGGAGAGACACAGAGATGTAACAGCAGCAAACCCAAGAGAATCAGCCAGCTGTTAGGACGTAGGGAGCCGAATTAGGTGTGATTGGGGCTCTGGAGTGGAACCTTTAAGGAATATGTTGCTATCTTTTGTCCTCTCTCGTGTGTCTTTGCCTCTCTCCGTTTGGTTCCTTTCTGATCTCACGTCTATCTCCACCTCTCTGTGTTTTGTTTGTTTTTAATATTCATTTATTTGTCCATCTGTCTATTGGCCTGACTCGGGTCTTAGTCGCATCACGCGGGATCTTCGTTGCAACACGCTGGCTTCTCCGCTTGTGGCGCTCAGGCGTCTCGCTAGCTGTGGCACGTTAGTCGGTTGCCCCACCCTAGTTAGTTGCCCCACCGCACGTGGGATCTCAGTTCCCCGACTAGCAGTCGAATTTGTGATGCATGCCTTGGAAAAGGGATTCTGAGCCACTGGACCGTCAGGGGCGTCCCCACCTCTCTGTGTTTTGGACTCTTTTTTCTCTGTCTCTCCACAACAGGGTGACTCCGGGGGCCCCCTGGTCTGCAACGGGTCCCTGCAGGGCCTTGTATCCTTTGGACAAGCCCAGTGTGGCCAACCTTACGTGCCAAGCGTCTACACCAACCTCTGCAAGTTCGCGGACTGGATACAGAAAACCATCCAGGCCAGTTAACTCCTGCGACTGGGACTCATGAAATTGAACCCCAAAATATAAGCTGCTGAAGGAATTCAGGAATCTGGGTTCCCAGTGCCTTCCACCCTCAGATCCAGGAGTCTAGACCCCCACCCCCAACCCCAGGAGTCCTGTCCCACCGAGAATCTTTTCTTGCACACGGTGCCCCCTAGCGGCACGATGTTGAGACCGCCTTACCATTGGTAGAGAAAGTTGATTTTTCACTGTTTTTGTCCCTTCCCTTAAGCCCTGAAATAAAGTCTAAGAGAGCACCAGCTCTGTTCGAACTGTCCTCCTTGCTTCCTTTCCCATCCAAGGGATTCCAGCAAATAGTCTGCCTTCCTTTTGCCTCAGTTTTTTCATCTGGGAAATGGGACCCTTGACCAGGAGAGTCACAGAATCCCCACGGAAGAAGACATACCTGGGAGGAGGTTAAGAGAAACTGATTCTGTGGATGTTGTCCAGTTTCTGAAAAGTCGAATCAGCAAATGGCAAATTAATGGGATTTCCTTATTTTGTTTAATCAACTTTAGTTGGCTTATTTTGGTTTGGTCTTCTTCAATGCATTTTAAGAATTTTTCACCTGTGGTTGCCTCAGGACTTACCTGCTATAGCTGGAGACTGGTGTCAAGAATCTGGGGGGGCAGGGGTAGGGAAGTCTGAGGATGGAGAGAGGGCAAGTTAGGACTGAGAAAGAGAAGACTGAAGGCCCAAGAATGTAAGGAATTGTTATTATACTAAATACAATGGGGCTTCCCTGGTGGCTCAGTGGTAAAGAAGCTGCCTGACAATGGAGGAGATGCAGGTTCAGTCCCTGCGTCTGGAAGATCCGGAGAAGGAAATGGCAACTCACTTAGTGTTCTTGCCTGGAGAATCCCATGGACAGAGGAGCCAGTGGCAGTCCAGTTACAGTCCATGGGGTGGTAGAGTCGGACACGTCTTAGAGACTAACCAACAACAACTAAATAGAATATACTGATAAGAATTTATATCCAGGAATATCTTCATAAATATATTGTGAACCTATTCTTAAGGAGATATTCAAGTTTTTCTGTATCTCTTCAGTACCCTCAAATATATAAAGTAAATGATGAGATAATGAAGAGATACAAATCCCTACTCATGATAGAGGATTTGGGGAATTCCCTGGTGGTCCAGTGGCTAGGACTCTACTTTCACTGCTGATGGCTCAGATGCAAGTTCAATCCTTGGTCGAGGAACTAAGATCCCACAAGCCACTCAGTGCGACCAAAAGTTTAAAAAAAAAAATAGATTTTAAAAAATGTAAAGAGGATTTTAAGGAGCCTCTTAATAATAGAACAAACAAGATAAAAGTGGATAAGGACATATGTGATTTGAACAACGTGATTAACAAACTTTATTTAGTCATCATATATAGAACACTGCACCCAGTATCTGAAGAATATTCAACCTTTTTAAAATGCACATATCTACTAGAATGGCTAAGACTAAAAAGAAGGACAGCATGGTGTATTGGTTGGTATGTAGAGCAGCTGTAATTCTTGCGTATTTCTGGGGGCAGGGGAGTATAAAATGGTACAACTGCCTTGGAAGACAGTTTGGCAGTTTCTTAGAAGATAAACATACGTTGTCTACCCCATGACCAGCAAGTCCACTCTTAGGTATTCATGTGAGAGTAATGGGGAAAAAAAAAAAAGAAACCTCCCACGAATGTTCGCAGGAGCTTTATTCATAGCAGCCAAATTGGAAACAACCCAGATGTCCGTGAAGGAGTAAATGGGCAAACTGTGAACTATTCACTCAGTGCCAAATGCTGCTGTAATAAAAAGATGAGGCATTGACATATACAACAGTATCAGTGCCCCTCAGAATCAGAGGGCTGAGTGGGGGCTTCCGTGGTGGGCCAGCGGTTAAGACATTCCAGGACCACAGGCTCTTAGTTATTCCAGAATCCTAGGGTCTCAGTCATTCTAGAAACATAGACCTTCAAAATCTCTAGACTCTCAGGCCTTCAGATTCTAGAATAGAAAGGCTCGTTGTTGTTCAGTTGCTAAGTCTGACTCTTTGTGACCCCTATGGGCCGCAGCACCCGAGGCTTCCCTGTCCTTCACTATCTCCTGGAGTTTGCCCAAGTTCATATCCATTGAATCGGTGATGCCATCCAGCCATCTCATCCCCTGTTGCCCTCTGTATGGATGCACATATCCACTATCTTTTAGATTCTTTTCCCATATACATCATTACACAGTACTGAGTAGAGTTTCCTGCGCTATACAGTAGACTGCAATGTTTTATAATTTGATGGGATTGAGAGTTACCTGGGTGCATGCATTTATCAAAACTATACCTCAAGGCCTCATTCAGTAAGGCAGCCCCCTCACCCCCTCCAAGACCGTCTTGCACCCCACGTCCCACCCAGGTCAAGTGTCTACAGAACGGAAGCCTTGTTTTCCCCTTCAGCGCTTCAGTTGCTTATTTGTCACTGTTGTCTCTCAGTCCCCTTTTTGTAAAATGGGGTTTCAGTTTTGTCTTTTTTTTCTTTTAACACCAGTAAATACTTGCATTCAAGCCCGGGAAGGGAGGCAGAGTTCTGGCCCCCTGCCCCATTCGTGTGATGCCATGGGGCCTGCCCCTGGAGCAGGCCCTCCTGTTTGAGTCCCCTGAGCTTCTCTGCTTGAAGTTATCTCAGATTTGACCTGTCCATGTTGTGCTGCTCAACCCCCTTCAAGATGCCATCTGGAGGATTGCCAGGAGCCGGCACATGAGATCCCACCCATGACAAGGCCATGAGGGAGAAAACCTGATGGGCAAGGCAGATCAGGTTTTCAGGGATTCCGAAAAGCTGACCCCGGCACTCACCTTAAAGAGGATATCTGTCTTTCTGATGCTTGCTTCAATAGACTACTCCCTAATTTCTGTGACACAGGCAGAAGGCCTTCCCGGATCTCTTTCCAAATAAGAATCAACTTAGAACTTTAATCAATAAGTTTCCCGGGGGGTGGTATTTTATGAGATTATCCAGAGTGAAAGGAGTGTTTTAATTTAAACTCCTTTGCTGGTATTTTAGTTTGTTTGGCAAATGCATTTATGCCTTGGTACTAATATGCATGATTGCTTATAATACCCTAATCATAAAACTGGTTTCGTGAAGGACAAGCTGATGTAATGTTAAACTATCTTCCCCTTAGAAATGTACTAATTTAGGGTATAAAAGCTATGGTAAAAAATAAAGCATTGCCAGACTCTGCCAGACTCTGCACCCCCCGTCTAGTCACTCAGTTTCTCTCTCTCTCTCTCTTGCCCTCACAAACTTGGCCCTATCAAGGCTGGTCTCACGTGTCTTCTCACTCTCTCGCCAAAGCCATTCATTCTGAGGGTACCCCCTGGATCCTGCCATGGCTGGACCCCGGCAGAGGATGGGGAGACCTGCCTTCCACTGGGACTGGGCTGTGGGATTCTGACTACCTTGCTTACAGGTTCATGACTAGATAAATTTGTTGTATTAAAGCACTTGAAATGTAGGACACCATTAAGTGTCTGTTCCTTTTTTGGGAATATTTGTATTACTTACAATTAATGGATAAAAGTGGGTTTAAAAGTCTATCCATGAATGGGGGTGTACAAAAGACTGCACATCATTTACAAATATTAACCACATACTGAGCTATGAAGCAAGTCTCAACACATTTCAAAATATTAATATACAGAGTATATTGTCTGGCCACAATGTCATTAAGCTAGGAATTGACAAAATACCATAACCCGAGCTCCCGAATTCTGAGTCGGTCCCCCACACCCCGCTCCGTCGGACCCATGAGTCCCCGCCCCCAGCCCGCCCCGTCCCTCAGAGCCGCCCGTTGGCGCCACCTAGCGGTGGAACCCTCCCAGGACAGGAAAAAAGCGGTTCCTTCCGGTTCCGCCCCGCGCCGCACAAGAAGTATAAAAAGTCTAAGGGAAAACCTAACTGTATATGGCGCGTGCCCACCTGCTCACAGTCACACTTGGAAGCTGGGGCCGGACACATCTGTTTTCACTCCTCGGGCCTCAGTTTCCCCACTTGTAAACTGGGAAAAGGGGGTTCAGAAAAAGATGCCAAAACTGAGAGACGGGAGAGCCCTTGCTGCTTCAAGTCCTAATCTGCTCTGAGAAAGACCCCACAATCACCTCTCCCCAAGATTCTGGGAAAACAGGACATTAGTCTCATCTCACAGATGGGCGACTGAGGTACAGAGAGCCCAGGTGACTTGCCTAAAGACACACCGCATTATGTGTTGGAGATAAGATTTGACTCTAGGCTGCCTGGAGTCAGAGTCAACATCTAAATCACGTCCTCTGTTAACCTGTCTTTCACACACCAGCCTAATTCTGACTTACACACCTGCTCTATGCATATTATCTCGTCCAATCCCATCTATTCTCCACTCCCTCCCCCACCCTAAGACCCCCATCACAGATGAGCAATGATAACTAGAGAGAGGCAATGCTTCACATCCAAAGAACCAAGGACTTCCTGCCTTTCTCATGTCCCACTCTTCAACTTCTGCAGCCTGGGTGACCTTGAACTTCTGGGGTGCTACCCTCCCAACCATCTATCTGCTCCTGTGTGGGATTAATTGTTTACTGTGTACTCTTAGGTCCTTATGCGTATCTGTCTTAGATACTCCTTGTGAAACTCTGTGATTTTATCTGATTATTATTAAATAACATTACCTGATTTTTAAGGATGAGAGACTGAAAGCAAGGACCGAATTTCCAAAATAGTAAGCCATGGGGCAGGGGTCTGAGCCCAGGCTGTCTGACTCCAGGGCCAGGACCCTGAAATACCACTTTTGACTGGCTCCATAATGAAGGAGAGGGGGTTGTGGAGAGATGAAATTAGAGGAGACCCAACACCACATGGAGAGTTTCCTGGGGCATCAAGAGTCCAGTGTCCCTTGGGGAGGGCGACAGGATGCAGTGTCTGTCTCCCTGGTAGAGGCGGTTCAAGATGAAGCTTGTTGCCTCAGCATGTGTGCTCAATCGTGTCTGACTCTTTGTGACCCCCTTGACTGTAGCCTGCCGGGAGCCGGCACACAAGATCCTACCCATGACAAGGTCATGAGGAAGAAAACCTGATGGGCAAGGCGGATCAGGTTTTCAGGGGTTTCAAAAAGGCCAGCTCACGAGATCCCACCCATGACAAGGTCATGAGGGAGAAAACCTGACAGGCAAGGCGGATCAGGTTTTCAGGGGTTTCGAAAAGGCCAGCTCACGAGATCCCACCCATGACAAGGTCATGAGGGAGAAAAC